CCTCTCCCTTCATCGGTCTGAAATCAATAAAAACAGTAAAAAAAATTGACTTACCTAAGAAATGAAGATGCTAGCGCTTGAGATTCAATTGTTAGGAAGTCGATATTTAAATTTGTCTTGGCAGGGAGGGCTTGAGCAGATGAAATAAGGATAGTGATGAACAATTCAAGGGTCTGGGTTTGGTTAGAGGAGTACCTTAATATATATTTTTTCCTTTTAATCTTCACCTGGGTATATGCTTATTGGTTATATTTAATTTATTTTTTAAAATGTGTCTTTATTGAGTTTATTTTAAATATATATATATATATATATATATATGTATTGATTTCAGTGAGGAAGGGAGAGGGAGAGATAGAAATATCAGTGATGAGAGAGAATCATTGATTGGCTGCCTCCTGTATGCCCCACACTGGGAATTGAGCACACAACCCGGGTATGTTCCCTGACCGGTAATCAAACTGTGATCTGGTTCATAGGTTGATGCTCAATCACTGAGCCATGCAGTTTGGGCGTCTTTATGGATTTTAGAGAGAGAGAGAGAGGAAGTGGGGGGGAGAGAGAGAAATAACATTGAGCCCTAGCTGGTTTGGCTCAGTGGGTAGAACCTTGGCCTGTGGACTAACGGCTCCTGGCCCTGGTTGGGGGCATGCGGAAGGCAGCCAATCAATGTGTCTCTCACATCGATGTTTCTCTCTGTCTCTCCCTCTCCCTTTCCACTCTTTCTATAAAATTAATGGAAAAAATATCCTTGAGTGAGGATTAAAAAAAAGAAAAAGAAAAAGAAAAGAAATAACATTGATCGGCTGCCTCCTGTATACACTCCAACCTCGAACCAAACTGCAACCTGGGCCTGTGCCCTGACTGGGAATCCAACCAGTGATCTTCTGGTGCGTGGGATGACACTCAACCAATGAGCTACACTGGCTAGGGCTGCTGGTGATTACAGAGAGAGAGGAAGGGAGGGAGAGAGAAAAAACATTGATGTGAGAGAGAAACATCCATTGGCTGCCTCCCATAAGTGCCCAACGAAGTAATCAAACCCACAAACTAGGTATCATGCCCTGACCAGGAATTGAACCCATAACCTTTTAGTGCATGGGACGTCACTCCAACCAGCTGAGCCACACTGGCCATGGTGCACAGTGAGTTTTATGCTATTTTTTAGGATTGGCTTGTGCTCTAGATACCCAGAAATAGTGACATTGACAGAGAGAAACATCAGTGATGAAAGAGAATCATTGATTGGCTGCCCCCTGCAAGCCCCACAATCCGGGCATGTGCCCTGACTGGGAATCGAACTGTGACCTCCTGGTTCATAGGTCGACGCTCAGCCACTGAGCCATGCCTGCTTAATCATTTATTTATTAATTATTTAAGTGAAATGAAGTTGTTAATAAAGTTCTAAATTCTGATTCTGCTAAAATTTCCATATCCTCCAGAGTCTAACTCATTTAGTGAAAAATCTTAACTTTCTAATTGGCCACTTGCAGCCTTTTGGCTTTAGGTTATTGATAATAAAGTGTGGCCTACTTTGTTACTGCTCCATAGCTTTGAAGATGGTCTTTTGGAAGGCAGATGTCAGTCTTTGTCAGTCAGTCAGTCTCCCGCCAAGTGTCACCAGGTGCTTGCATCACTTAGATTTGGGGGGCCTGCTTTCCGATAGGGCTGTGACCTTGGCTGTGCTGCTTCATGCCTGTGAGCAGACATCTTGTTTTCTGCTTGGGTGTGGGCACCGTGCTCCAGCTGCCGCAGTGGTTTGTAGGTAGAGTGTATTTGGGTCTGTGGGAGCAGGAGTCTGTCTTATCAGTCCATTCCTTTTGTTGTCTCCAGATACACTCTGTAAAGCATGCACAGATATTACACATCCTTGAGTGCTTTTATGATTTGTTTAATATGGATGGGATGCCTTATTAAATGGAGTTTTTATTTCTGTTTGGCTTGTTAAAAAGTCTGAAAACATTTTATTTTATTACAGATAGGTGAGCTTCAGCTTTGCAAACTTGATGAACTAGATTGCTTAATAAAAGGAATTTTATACATTGATTCAGTTGGATTCAATGGACGGTCACAGTGCTATTACTTTGAAAACCCTGCTGATTCTGAAAAATGTCAGAAGTTACCGTTTGATTTGAAAAATCCATACCCTCTGCTTCTGGTGAACATTGGCTCTGGGGTTAGCATCTTAGCAGTATATTCCAAAGATAATTACAAGCGCGTCACTGGTACCAGGTAGGTCTTTTATATTCTTGATATCATATGTCTTAAGACTGAGTTTTTAGGTATTGCATGTAAGTATACCTTTAAGAATCTGTTTAAAATTATGTAAAAAATAAAACTTTCTCTGGGATTATGCAAACAAATGTTATTTCTGTTTGAAATTTCTGATTTCATGACCTACTTTTCTTTAATCTGTATTGCTCCACGTTTCTTAAAATGTCTCATCAGCAGACTCATTAAGCCCATAGTCCCTGCCCTTAGATAGTGTGCGATGTGCATATACCATAAAGTAAGCAAAGCTCAATGGAGTGTATAAGAAGGCAAGGCAAGATCCTAGATTTTGTGCAAGCGCATAAACACACACATGTGCCCGGGTGCGTGGCCCGAGGATGATGTGAAATTTAGAAGTTGAGATATTGAGCAATAGAAAAATGATTGGGGGAGGGTGGTTTGAAAGGGAGAATTAGGTGGCAGATGAGAAAGGAATGCACTTTAAGGATCAGAGATCACTTGAAGAAAAACTAGGAGGTGGGAATGGGGTAAACAAGTTTTTTAATTGGTGTGAGTTAAGGAGTGAAAGAAATAATTTTTTGGGGGAAAACACATTCATGGAAGAGTTCTTGTTGGGTAGGGGGGCTGATGAGCCAGGGTGACAAGATGCTTGAATGAGAAGAAAAGAAAAAGATGCTTGAGTGAGGATGGCTTAGGGCATGCACTTGGAGAGAGAAAGGGAGGAGGCACCAACGTGGTCCTAGGTGTGAGGGGCTGATACTACATACTTGAGGTTTCTCCAACTCAGCAGACGTCCAGACTGAACTGGAGACATGGGCGGAGAGGTGGGCCCTGTATTTTGCCATGTTGCTTGTTGGTGCTCATGAATGCATACCTTCAAGGTGTCTATTAGGGACCTGTTTTTATCTTTCCACAGACTTATTTCTCACTGGTGGCTTCTGCACGATTGGGTTGAGGCAAGAGTAGATTGACATGTGAATATGGTTTTATAGTTCATAAATATTACCTTCCTATTGTAAAAAATGTTATAATCATATTATTTGTTTTTAATCACAGTCTTGGAGGAGGAACTTTTTTTGGTCTCTGCTGTCTGCTTACTGGCTGTACCACTTTTGAAGAAGCTCTTGAAATGGCATCTCGTGGAGATAGCACCAAAGTGGATAAACTAGTCCGGGACATTTATGGAGGGGACTATGAGAGGTTTGGACTGCCAGGCTGGGCTGTGGCTTCAAGGTAAGGGGATATGTGTTCTCTAAGTGATGCAGAAATAAAATACTAAATATTGGGTTGCCCTTGCCAGTGTGACTCAGTTGGTTGGAGCGTCATCTATACACCAAAAAGTGGCAGGTTTGATCCTTGCTAGGGTACATATCCAGATTGCAGGTTCCATCCCTGGTCAGGACACACGCGAGAGTCAACCCATTAATGTTTCTCTCTCACATTGATGTTTCTCTCTCTCTCAAATACAATTTTTAAAAAATTGGGTATATCTTTTTCCTTTTAAGCAGCTTTACATATTATAAAGTCAACTGTTAAGTGTGTCCAATTTATTGGTTTCTGGTATATTTACAGAATTGTGCAGTAATCACCACAATCCAATTTCAGAACATTTTTATCATCCCAGAAAAAAACCTGTATTCATTAGCTGTCACTCCACATTTCCCTACCCTACAGTCCCTTGTAAACACTAATCTATTTTCTGTCTCTATAGATTTGCCTATTCTGGACACTTCATATAAATGATATCATACAATATGTGATTTTTGTGACTGACTTATTTAGTTTAATGTTTTTAAGATTCATCCATGTTGTAGCATGAATCAGTATTTTGTTTTTATTGATGGATAATATTTCATTGTATGGATATGTAACATTTTATTTATCCATATATCAGTTGATAAACATTTGGGTTATTTAAACTTTTTGGTTTTGAATAATGCTGCTAGGAACATTCATGTACAAGTTTGTGTGGACATATTGTTTTGCATTCTCTTGGGAATATACCTAGGACTGGAATTGCTGGATCATGTGGTAACTCTTATGTTTAATCTTTTGAGGAACTGCCAGACAGTTTTCCACAGTGGCTGCACCATGTTACAACCCCACCTGTAATATATAAGGATTTAAATTTATCCACATCCTTGCTGACACTTCTTATTGTCTTTTTGGTTTAAACTGTCTTAAAGATGTCAAGTGATCTCTCCTGGTTTTGATTTGTATTTCCCTAAGGATGACTAAGGATGTTGAACATCTATCTATGTTCTTATTGACTATTTGTCTACCTTTGGAGAAATGTTTGTTCAAGTCTTTAGCTCATTTTGTAGTTGAATTATTTGTCTTTTATTATTGAGTTGTAAGAATTCTTAATATGTTCTAGAAACAAGTACTTTATCAAATACAATTTTGTATTTGCACATTTGTCATTTGCAAATATATTTTCCCATTCTGTTAGTTGCCTTCACTTCCTTGATGGTGTCCTTTACAGCATAGATGTTTTAAATTTAAATAGATAAAAAGAAGTACATCTTATCTATGTTCTCTTTCCTTGCTTTTATTTATTTATTTATTTAAATATATTTTTATTGATTTCAGAGAGAAAGGGAGAGGGAGATAGAGATAGAAACATCAGTGATGAGAGAGGGTCATGGATCAGCTGC